TCAACATTCCTTTAGATAAGATTGGGGTCTGCTGTCCATTTTCCCAGTTCTCTGCTGGGTTATTATCTGGGAGTCCCTCTGGCCACCCTGACCAACAACTCAAAAGAAGGTATCACCTATCTGGCATTGTTGCTTGTTATATAGTCTTTAGCTATGCATATGGACTCTTAAGAAATTATATTGGCCCCTTTAGTCTTTGGTTATACTTTCCTTTTGGGTGTTTAAGGCGATACAGTTGGCCCAGATACACCAATTTATTTTTACTCTTAAGGTCATTTGAGGATCTGTTCCTCAGGGATCACATGGGCTTGAGAGGAGCCCCTGGCTCCTTTCTTTTACCAGTTCCGCCTCTGTAAAGCAAACATTTTTATCATTGCAGAAATTTCTGTTGGCCATTAAGTATCATAGTTTAGTGTAGTTCACAACTCCCTAGGCTATAATCATAATTTGGTAGTGATTTCAATGATTCTTCACATCAAAATGTTTCCTCTAATGAAGTTTGAACTTCTACCATCAGAGGCAATAGCTTTAATGACACTGCAATCATCAAACTGATAGTATGAATTGATAGCCTAAATCAGGTAAATGTTTCCAGGTTTAACACCACTGGGATTTTCTGAAATTGGCTCTGTATCTTAGCTATGTCTTCATAAGTATAGCACATGACATATATTGAACAGAAACCAGGAGATAGAAATCCCATAAACATTGATCTTGTATCCAATAAAATATACCTTGTATCCATTTACACACCTCCATCCTCCTTACATCCACCTTACCAGGCTTCCTTCTGTTGCCTCCGTTCACCCCTTCCTCTGTTCAGCCGCATGTTTACTGCTCTTCACTACTCTTGGTCAATTAACCCTCTCCAGCGAGCTTTCTTTAAATAATCTCTGTTGGGTACAGACATTTGAATGCTTGCATTCTAGTTCACATCAGTGTATCTAATTCTTAATTTGCTGTTGTGTTCTAATGTATTTTCATTCTTTATGTATCCAACTTCCATCGACAAGGTTGTGTTAAGAAAAAGTTCTACTTCATGACAATGATCATCCTTGTGCTAGGGAAACTCAAATCAGTGTTTATAGTAAAGGACTTATGAATCTAGGCGCTTTTGATTAGCTAAAAATATCATTTAAATAAAACCGTTATTTTACTTTTTTTTGCACTTCTTATGATGCTGAATTTATTATTGTCACATCAGGTTTTGTTTCTTCTATTTCTTCCTGGATATCTTTTTCTTCTGTACAACCTTCTCCTCTTTCTAATGTAGGAACAATTTGTTCCTATCCAGTGAGGATCATCTCTGTGTGGCAGGGGGAGCTCATGAATGGGTTAATCCGACCATGGGTTCTGGAAGCTCTGCGCAGATCTTGGGTGTTTTGTTTACCTGAATCTGTTCAATGACTAGATAATCTTCATCTAAATCCTTCAGTTCAGGATTATACTCCACATTTTTAAGCATGTGCAGCAAAAACTCAGCATTCTTTTTGGGTCACTGACCCTGTGCCCAGCTGGACACACCTACTAACTTCATTGTTCCACTAGAATAACACACACTGCCCTTTTAAAAATGATGTCTTTCAGATTCTTGGTGTCTTTTTGAATATGCATACTCTTGATGGCCTGGGCAGTTTCACTGGTGTTCTTAAGGTGAACAGGAATATTTGAGCCTCTTGATTTGCATGATTTTGGAGGATTTTCTGGGTCAAGAGAGTACTGAACCATTTCCACAGGTCACCTCAGGCCATTTATAGGAAGGCTTAAAACAGCTTTTTTTTAAATCCCAGGATGCTTACATTATGGGCTTAGCATTGCCCCTTGTTAAATGAAAATGACAAAAAGTTGTTAAACCAGAACTAAAATGGGGGGGGATAAAAATCTCAGTTTAGTCACACTCTTCCCTTTAAAGCAGATACCTGGCAGATAATAATGCAGCTACTTCCTTTAAAAATGTAGTAACTCAAGAAAACATTTGATTTTCTTTTGAAGCAGGAGATGCTATTAGACGGTGGTTGCAGCTCTGAGCTACAATCTTGTTATTGGACCCTTTGTC